TTTTTTTAAGTCAATTCTGTTGTAGAGGCCAGTCACTGAGTGCACAGTGATCACCTGGAGCAGTAGGCCGTGGGTGTCCTGGAAAAGGAGACCACCTCCCATCCCATCCTCACGTCAATACTCCTAGCGCACCCCCTATCCCACTATCCTACCTCAGTGTGACCAGCACTCAGGACCATTACCCTACCAATGGGCAGGTAACTTGGACCGAACAGCAGTGATAGGCACCAATCCTGGCCAAAAGCCCATTTCTGCTGACCGACTGGTTGCTAATTGGCCTGCAGCATCTCTTTCCGTCGTACTCAAAATGTGAATGCGAGTAAAAGTGTCATGAGTCAAATCCTGAGTAAATCAGATGACTATCAATAATGTTAGGGGCCATCTCCATAGCCCCTTCAAGAATGACAGGGAGAAGAAGGAAAATGGCCGGCCCTGTCGATTGTTTGTTGTGAGAAAAGTTGGGGGTGCTTTTGGCTGACCGACCACTTGCGGCCTGTTTGCAATGAATGGTTTCTGCAGCATTACGACGGGGTTTCGAACTCTGCACCTGCAGACTGTCCACTGATTCCACTTTTGATTCCCAAACCCAAGGTGCCTGAACACATGGAGGTTGCTGATGGGGAGCCTCAAGATGGAGAACCCTTGCTTCATATTCATGAGCATTTGGCTGGTCTCAAGTTCCGTATTTCCCCCACGGCCTTCTTCCAGGTAGGTCTACTAAGTAACTAGCTTAGTGCCTGTGGTGCAGGTGATGCGGGCTGTGCGGGCAAACTGCCCACATGAAAAGATACAGCTTGTCCCCCCCCCCCATATAGGAGGAGAAGACAGCTGTTTTTTTTTCTTTTCATTTCTCAATTTATGTACTTTGACCAGAGTTTGCTTTGCAAGTTTGCATACTAAAACACAGCAAATATGCTGTAAGACATTCCCAAAACTAAGGATACCAAAGGTGCACAGGCAGGAAGGCACGTGCGCAGGTCGCCCAGCTGACTGCCGGCCCAGGGTACTGCGGGCATGTAAAAACTCTTGGGAATTTTTTTTTTTTGTTTCTCCACGGAGGGGGGCCTTTCTGCGCCCAGCAAAAGAAGCCGAAATCCACCTATTTTTTGTGTTTCAGTGTTGTCCGTTGGTGGGAGGAAAGGGGGGTGTAAATGGGGCGTAAAGAAGTTAAAAGGGCCTATGCTTTAAAGGGGTTAAAGGGTTGGGGGGCGGGGGGCGGGGGTGGTGGTGCATTCGTTTGACTTTTAGTTTCTTTTTGTTAATTTATCTTTGATTGACTTAGGAATTCTGAGGTGACCCTCAGCCAATAGTTGTGTGCATACCAACAGGCCTACGTAGCTCATTTGGTACACCCATGAAGTGGCATGAACTGTTGAAATACAGGCCCAAGTTCATTCTCCAATGATTCCAATCGACCTATGTTTAATAGAACAAACTTCAACAAAGTAATTCTCAATTACTTTTTCAATGGCTCCATCCATACGACAACAGGACACACCAAACTGGCTATGTACGTGATTTTGAGGCTTTTTTTTTTATATATTCTTAGCCAGGGTTGCCGGCGTTCGGGGCGGTCCGAACGCCCGAACCCGAACGCCTGAACGTTCGGCACCCCCTCTCGACGCGTTCGGCCTTTCGAACGCGGATCCAAAAAAAAAAAAAAAAAAAAAAAAAAAAAAA